CCTGGAGAGTAAGATGAAGCAAGGAACTGGTATCAGTGATAAGTGAAGATGGGGGCAACGTGACTGCTCAAGAGATTTACACTGGGCAAGGAGGGGAAATGAACTCCATAAGACAACACAGCAGGCTGTCATTCACTTAGAAATAAAAAACAAAAAACAAAAAAACAGACATCATTAATCCTAGTTTTGTAAGCAACATTTATTCAAACATTCAAGCACATACTATGTGCCAAAAAGATGAGCAAGAAAATACTAGAGCTCAGAGCCCCATGAGGGATATAAGTAAATAAAAGTGTGAGAAGGAAAATAAAGGAATATGGGTGCACACAGGAAATCATGTGTCACAACGGAGAAATTCTTCAAAAGGAGCAGAGACCAAAGGAATATTCCTGAAGGAAGGGAAACCTGCACTTACACTTAAGATACAGCACGAACCAGGGAAAGGAGTGAAGAAAGCATATTCGGGGCAAAAGGCACAGGCCAGAGCAGTGTGTGTGTCCCAGGAATGTCTCAAAGCATGAGAGAGACCGACAAGATTGCAAAGCTTTGCTGGGAGGCCTGGCATCTGGCCTGCAGACCGGCCATGGGAAGGCAAAGAAACATTTAAACACAGGCCACCCCATCAATTTCACCTTTCAGATGGAACACTCTGACAGCTGTTGTGAGAGTGGGTCTGAGGAGACCCACCGCAGAGGCAGAAAGGCCAGGTGGGAGGGCTGAGTGATCATGTGGGAGACAGATAACGAGAGCTCAAGCCAGGCACGGGGAGTGAAAAGCAGGGTGATTGGAGGAAGAGTTAAAAGACAGAATCTGCAAGTTCAAGAGAACCAGGTGAGGGACAGTGATGCCAACTCACAACAGAGGAGAAAGAATATATTTGGGAAGGGGAGAAGCATCAGGAGTTAGCATGTGGTGCTGGAAATTAGTCAAGTAGAGAGATCCAGCTTTAAGTTACTTATGCAAGTCAAACAGTCAGTGTAGATGTGAACTAGAATCAGAAAAATAAAGGCAAATTCTTCCTAAGTGTTGTATTTTAAGACAGTGGCTCCTAAGCCTAGTCAGGCTTCAAATCACCTAGAAGCTTCTAAAATCCAGATTCCCTGACCCCAACCTAACTCATCTGAGATATTCTTCTATAAGTAGTTTCCAAGTAGCATAACAGTTGGGAAAACTTTTAAACTAAACCAGGATTTGAGAGTCAGAACCAGATTCTAATTCTAACCACAATCTATTAACTGTGACCTTGGGCAAGTTACCTACTCTCTGTTAATAACCCTTCATTTTCACACTTGAACATTACTACAAGTGGGTCAGGCCTATTTACCATGCAGGCTGACAGTGAGAATGAGACTGCAGACACACAGCTCCCTCTCAGAACACAGAAAGTGCTCAGTGATCAGCAGCCCTATATTAACATTCTGTAGAACACTTACCTCTTTGGGGGGCTTTTTAATGTCAATTTGTCTCTATCTCCCTTTACCCACTCACCCATGGACTCAGAACATAAGCTTCCCAAGACTTTATTTCTACCTGCCTGGCCCCTGCTCGATCCACACTGATTCCACCAGGCACTTGGTAGGTGCTCTCTGAATTCAGAAATAAATGACGAAGATTACAAAAAATGAAAACACCCCTCCACCACCACTTTTTTTTTTTCACTATGCAGACCCTGGATCAGCTAATGTGAAAATATTTTTCAAAGGGGAACAATCAATTCCTTTGAGATGTTTCAAAATTACCATCCTTTTTTTTTTTTTTTTTTAAAATCCACTGGTATGGTTTGTATGTGACGTGTCCCCTAAAAGCTCCTGTGTGAGAAGGCTTAGAGGTGAAATGTTTGGGTTGAGAGCCTTAACCCAATCAGTGAGTAAATCCCCTGATGGCATTAACTGAGTGGTAACTAAAGGCAGGTAACTAAAGGCTGGAAGAGGTGGGTCATTGGAGGGTGTGCCTTTAGGGTATATATTTTGTATCTGGCTAGTAGAGCCTCTTTCTGCTTCCTGGTCATCATGTGAGTTACTCTTCTCCACAACACTCTTCCACCTTGATTTCTGCCTCACCTCAAGCTCTGAGGAATGGAGCAGCTGTCTGTGGACTGAGGCCTTAGAAACTGTGAGCCTGCAAGTAAACTTTTCCTCTAATAGTTCTTATCAGGTCTTTTGGTCACAGCAGTAAAAAAACTGACTGAAACAACCACTGACTCCATTTTAAAAAGATTATTTTTTCTTACTTCAGGTTTGAACATCAAAATTTTTCTAGCCTAACTCTTACAGTGATTACAAATAGTCAGTATGAAAATCACTTAGCATCAAAGAGAAATGCTTATGATGTAATGGTAAATTAACTATCATTTGTATATGCATGCATATGTATGTATGCAGATATATACACATATGCAGACATTACACATATATATAAAATCATAATTAAAAATACAGATGGAGGAAAAGAATGGAATATACCAAAATGCTAAAGGTAATTATGTTTTATGTTGTAGAGTGATGAAGAATTATTTTTGTAATAGAATTACATCTAGTTCTATGATGAAAACATTAACTTTCCTCATTTTCAAAAAGCCTTCAATCTAGTTTTTTCCATCTCTTATTCCAGAATTATTTGAGCATCTACTGAGCAATGGGTGCTATACTAGGGCCAAATACACCCAGACTGAGATGTGTTCCCATTCCTCAAGAGCCTCAGCCTACCAGAGACAGATACATGAAACAACTGCCTACATACAGGGAAAAGAAATAAGGCAGCAATGAATTCTCTGGGATAGGGCAGGAAAGAACTTCAAGAGGTGAGAATGAAGTGGGGCTATGAAGCACGCATCTCCAAATCAACAGAATAAGTACGCTGTTCTACCCTTCCAGCTCACTCTCAGAACCAACCAAGTCCTTTGTGGCAACAACTAACTAATCCTTTGCTCTGTAACAGAACTAAAATACCTTATTCCTAACTTTCCCAGCCCCACAGATCCAGATTTCTAGATTAGAAAAAGAAATACTCAGAAGAACAATTGACACACAGTATTTCACTTGTATCAGTGAGCTAACAAATTCCATGCACAATCTCTATGGATCCTCATTGTGAAGTAAATACTCTTTCTTATTAACCCCATTTTACAGATGGGGAAATTAACATTAAGAGATTAAGCAACTTACTTCAAGTCACAAAGAGTTAAAAAGAGGTGTCAAAACCAAGTACAACTAAACTGTGCAGTTTACCACTAAGGTCCTGGTTCTCAGGAGAAAACAGAAGAAACCTCATTTCATCTTCAAGTGAACTCTTATCAGCAGGGAGAAAAGACAACAACTTGGGCTGCTGTGTCTATTAAACCTGGTTTTGAGTCCCAGATCATCACTAATTGGAACTTCAGAAAGTTCCTCAGGCCCAGAATGCGTTTCATTTGAAAAATGAAAAATTAAAAATAATACGGAACATACCTGGGGATATTATAAGGCCTACCTAGGAAAATAAAAGCAGAGGACCATGAAAGGCCTCATCAAGCACAGAGGGCCATGGTTCAAACAGAAAGGGGCCTTAATCAACTGATGTCTACTTTTAACCTTGCCCAAGCTCCCCATCAGATTTTGGGAAAAGATACATAAGCAGAAAAAGCAATACTGAAAAAGAAATGAGTTACGAGCAAAAAGACAGAACAAAAGAGGGGTTTTAGCAGGACCTGGATACCTGCAGATAGTGTAATGAATTCAGTGCTCTCAAAATCCAGATCATTCCCACCAAGTATGGTCTGAAATCTAGCAGGTTATCATTATCACTGGGAATTCGTTAGAAGTGCAGGCTCTCGGGTCCTGCTCCAGAACTTCTGAGTCAGAAACCACATTGGAACAAGTGCCCCAGCTGACAATTCTGGTTAGTAAATATTATATGTGATATCTTAGCAGCTGGTCTATTCTCATCATTGAGTAGCTTCAACTGTACAAGTTGTAGAAAAAAGTCAACAGCAAACTTTTAAAAAATATTAATAAAATTAATAAAAATGCTCTAAGCTTAAACTAATGTCTGTATACCAAACAAGAAAATAACACTGCTATCAATTCAAAACTGTACACCAGTAATTCAATTTCTTAAAACAGATGTCTGTACAAACATTGGAGGGGCTGATACTCCCAAGAAGAAAAAACCCCTCAGTTCCCTTAGATGAAGGAGAGACTGTCTGATGCGCCACCAACCTCACAGGGTGTTATTGTTTAGATATTAGGTGTAGCCCCAAAAGCTCATATGTGAGATAATGCAAAAAGATTTAGAGGTGAAATGATTAGGTCATGAGAATCTAAAACCCAGTCAGTGAATCCATCCCCTGACAGGGATTAACTGGATGGTTGGTAACTGTAGGCCAGTGGAGTGTGACTGGAGGAGGTGGGTCATTCAGGGGCATACCTTTAGAGTACATATTTTGTCTGATGAACAGAGCTCTCTCTCTCTCTGCACTACCTGTCGTGATGTATTGAGCCACTTCCCTCCACCACACTCTTCCGCTATGATTTTCTGCCTCACCTTGGGCCCAGAGTAATGGAGCTGGTCATCAACCAACCATGAACCCCTAAATAAACTTTTCCTCCTCCAAAATTGTTCTTGTCAGGTCTTTTATTTATAGCAGCAAAATAGCTGATTAAAACACAGGATTATATCCAATAGCATATGGATTTAAGCACCTTAAACTGGAAACCTATATACAAGGATGAGACTATTCTTCTTGAAATCAAATCACCTTAAGATCATACTATCAGCAACATGGAAGTAAAGGAGGCAAAGTGATCTTCTGTGAAAAGTAGAATAACAGCATGAAAGATTAGCCTGTTAGCCTCTGGAGTTACTATGAACATCAGCAGTTGGCCCACAACTCAGATATGTGCAGGCAAAAGAAATTAACCCAGGAAGGGGGGAAAAAACAATGGATATTATGTGAAGAAAACAGCAAATGCAGCTCTCAGTGAGTTCTGCTCACCATGCAGTAAGCAGTGCATCACACTCACCCAGCAGGGCAGCTACTATGCCCACCAGCCCTGTGCCAGCACCCAGCTCCACGGCAGAGCAGTCCCTGAGCTCCACAGCGCCCATCTCCAGAAACGTGGAAAGGACAACAGCCTGAGTCAAAACACAGTGCGAGTATGATTAAGGTCAACAAGTGCTTCAGGAGCTGTGGGTTCAGGATGCCTATGTGCTACTGGCAGGAGGAGATTGCATGTGCACCCCTCTCCCCAGCCCCACACTGCCCAGTCCACTAATGTGCACAGGAAATTAGCCACTGCTGCTATGAGGTCACCTCCTACAGAGGCACACACACAGCAGAACCAGCACCCCAACAGGGGGCTGCACAGCTAGCTAGGAGCATGCTGAATCTGTGAAGCTTAAATTTTTTATTGTCACAGCATTTTCACACTGAGACTTAGAAAACCGTTCTAAAGAACTGACATGAACAGTCTTATATAAGGCATGCCCAATTCCTAAGCCAAGCCAGGTCAGCAAGGCCACACTTCACCTAGAAGGAAAAAGCAGCACAGTGCCCAAGGCTCCCTGAACTGCATCCCTGACTCTCATCACCCCACAGGGGCCCTCACCACATGTTTTGGGCATCAGAAGGTAAGTTTTGGCCAGTTTGGGAACTTGTGTTAGCATTTACTTATAATCCTATAAAAAAATGGTATAGTGTTAACATAAATTTTTACTAAAGTTTGTTTTTCATAGCCATGTACTAGGAGTATAATTGGCAATTCCTCTCCTCAGTCAGCTTATAGGAGGCATCCTATTTCTTATTATTATTTATCATTGGTACTAATTATGGGAATAGTTTCACGCAGTTATTCAGAAGTGGATTCCCAGAAGTGGTATTACCAGGTCAGATTAATATTATTATTTCTTAATGTTTCTTTAACAGCCCTAATACAATGTTAAGACTGTAGAACGGTATTTAGGCCAATCAGTTATTCAACAGGAATAACTAGGGGGCTACACACACACACTAGGGAGCTGAGTCACAAGCCACCATTCTCAAGCAAAGAGAACAGTGTTTAAAGAGGAAGAAGTAGAAAAGCAATTATTATTTACAGCTATGGAAAACTTAAAGATGAAACATGATGTTCATTTTGGGCTTTGTCACCTTATGTATTCTTTGGTGCAGTGTTTTAGAAAGAGAACTCAGTGAGCGTCCAAAGCAGTCAGGACTTCAGTCTTCTGTTACTCACTGGGTAATTACTGGCAAGCCATTTCACTCCCCTCTGTTTTCAGTTAACCGCCATTAAAATGCAGTGTAATTGGGGGGGGGGGGGGAGATAAAGGGAATGACTGGTAAGGGGAAGGGGCTTTGGGGTGATGAAAATGTTTTAAAATTAAAGTGGTAATGGCTGCACTACTCTGAATATACTAAAAAAAAAAAAATTGAATTTGTGTAGTGAAGTGCATGAAGTGCATGGTACCTGAATTGTATCTCAATAATGGTATTTTTCTTTTCAAATAACTGAGGGTGTTTTCAGAGACCCTCTGGGGCTTGCTTACCGCATCCCAAACAACTGCTGCGACTCCAAGCTGCCTCCAGTCCTGCCGGATTTGGATCGTGTGGTTTGCAAAGGAGAAAGTGGCAAGAGGCTGGTGGAATTTCTGGAGCCCCATTCCCCTGGTCTCCTCATAGGGCACCAGGGCCATTTTGTCTAACCACGCTTCTGCTGAGACCTGTCGTGCAAAAGTATCCTGTGTGACACTCTGGCCAGAAATTGCATTATCTTTTAAGTAACTCCAAATGATTGTTAAGTTTGTTTATAACTTCAAAAGAAGAAGAAATGAGCTGAAGCCCGTCTAATTCCTTTAGCATGGCTCTTCCTTTCAGTCCTACGGGAGGTAAGATGTGGCTCTGAAATCGTGCCAATGGATATCTTTGAGCAAAAAGTCCTTGAGTATTCCGACACCCATAGGATGCCCTACAGTTCCACTGTTACCATTGCGCATATTCGGAGCTGCATAACAGTGCACCAAGCATTGGTGACTGCTCAGGGACCCCAAACTGCCTGCACCGCACTCCACTGCAGCTGCAACCAGCGTCGGGTTTGTGGCTTTTTTGGCTGGGGGGAGGGGGGCGGGTGTTATTATTTTGGTCCTCCGGTCTAAACCGCTAGGTTCAATAGTGATAATAATGGAACTGAGTGTTAACGATTTGAACAACAGTCGGATTTATGCGGTGGACACTGTACCATCTTCTAGTGACTGGAAGGAAACCACACTAGCGGGTTCCGAATCGCTCGCCAGCAGAGCGCGGCTGTGGGGTGGCTCGGAGGCCTCCACTAAGTCCCTTACCTAAACCTGTCCCCGCCCGCCCCCAAAAGGACCGACACGTGCCCCTTCCGGCCCGTGGGCCGAGAGCTCCGGGAATACGTCAGGGATGGGAATGGGAGACGAGGGGTGCTCCACAGGGCCCTCTGGGATCCCCCGGCCGCGCGGGGAGCCGGCTGCACCCTGGGGCTCTGGGAGCTTCCGGGTAGAGGCCACAGAAGTCTGAGGCCGCCCCGCAGGGGGGCTCACAGGACACCCAGCCCCGGGGGCGCAGCCACGCGGGTACTTACTATCTGGAGGGTGCCCGGCGCCGCATGCGCGCTACGTTTTCCCCGCCGGGGATGGCTGCGGAGAGGACTGGCCTTAAAAAGCCCCAGAGTCGGGAGGCGGTCGGAGGCGGGTCCCCGGCCTCCAGACACGCGTTTCCGGCGCTCCTCACCCCCTCCCTTCCCTAGGCAGGTGCTACCACCCCGCTGCGCTGGGAGCCTGGGGGCGGGGCGTGGAGGAGGCGCTGCGGGGCGGGGGCCGATGTCCCGGCTTCCTCGCTTAAGTCCCTTTAAGTATTTGGGTGCAATAATTTAGTTAGCCCTGGAGATCGGGGGTAACTTGGTAGAGAGAAGCAGGAGTGGGGGAGGGAGGGGAGGGAAAAGGGTGGGTGCAAAAAAAGGGAGGAAGAGGGGCGGGGGAGAAGAAGATGGGGTGACGCGGGGGAGAATAGGGATGGGGGGAAAGGAGAGAAGACGAGATGCTGAGCAGTTGGAGGGTGCTCCGAGAGCCTGAGTGATCTGGTGACAGCGAGAGGGAAGCCTTGCTCCGGATATGCTCTTACGCTGATTCTCGCTTGTTCGTTTGGCTCTTTTGGTTTTTATTTTTAAAGGCGTCCAGTTTAGCGGTGAAAGAGAAAGTTGAAGAAGGCGTCCCGCGTCTCCTAAGTGGGGTCCAAAGAGGCGTAACCGCCCATTGGGTGGCAATGAGTGGAAAAGTCTCAAAACACTTTTTAAAATATTTTTGTTTTTATTAGCACGGTGTAGCTATACATATAACAGTGGGGTTCATTTTTGACACTCAGAGGTGCATAGAATTTGCTTCATTTCAATCCCCAGTACTTTCCTTTTCCCACCCCTCCTCCCTCCACGTGATCCCCTTTCTCTGCTGGTCTTGCCAAGCCCTTCTTAACTAAAGCGCTAACAAGGAGTGGGCACGTGCCACCCAGGTCTGTATTTTAAAATGGGTCGGGTGGGCGCGGCAGCGGAGACCCTAGACCCTGATCCAGGCAGTTGGTGCAAATTGTGATCCCTGGCCTTCCTCCTCCGGGAAATCCGGCGGCACCCAGTCCACAGGCCTCGGGAGAGAGCCGGATGGAAGTGAGCACATGCGAGTGTGACCGCGCGGGGACCAGCATCCTCTTAAAGATTTAATTTTTTTCCCCCGGACCCACCCTACCTGGCCAACTCTTTCCCGGTGGTTCTTAGCCAGGGCTACACGTTAGAATGAACTGAAGCAAACTCCCGCAACCCCGACCCCGCCACCTGAATGCCACTTGGTATTTCTAAAAGCTCTCGCAGGAATCCCGGCTTACGGTGGGTGCCAGCCTCGGGCGTGGCCTGAGCCGCTCGGGGTCCTCACTTCTCCCAGCCGGCAGGGGGCGTCCCGGCCTCTTCAGATTCCCAAGGTGACTTGAGTGAACTTTGAAGACCACCAGTGAAAGCCTTTCCCCTCTTTGTTTCTTTTGTGGACTTCTCACACTCTCCGTTTTTCTTTTAGTATATCCTCTCTTACGCCCTCTACGACTTTGGATTGCTTCTGCCTCTCGATTTTTTTCTTTTACTTTTTTAAAACCTCCCTTTCCACAAAGAGAGGGAAATGCTAATTACCCTGACATATCAGTGTACACTATGTGCATGTGTTGAAATACCACACTATTCTCCATTATTATGTACAATTATTACATGTTAATCGAAAAAACAAAGAAAAATCCATTTCTTCCCCTCTTTTTCTCTTATCTCTTTAGAGAGCAAGTACTAAAGGAATGAAAAAGTATGGACTTTGGGGCCAGAGAAACCTTGAAAATTTAAATTCTGCCTCTGACACTTTAAATGGGATGGCCTTGAGTAATTACTAAATGCTAGGTCTCAGGTTCCTCATTCTAGCTAAAGCCTGGCACAGAGGGTTTGCCCCCTTTGCCATTCCTTCTCCCTGTTCTCCATCTTTTCTACTCAAGTCATATCTTTAAATCACCTTCCCCACCTCTTCAGCACTCTACTAACATAGGGTATTTGCCTCACTACATTTACCTACAATTTGTCTACAAAGATGTTGTTCACTTTTTCTCAAAGGCAATAGACAAGAAAGTCATTTAGCCCTTCCCAATGTTGTAATTGGTACCAACTGGCTCAGGAAGTTGTGCATACACACAATTGAGAACATATGCAACTTGTACAGCAGTGTAGACATTAAACAGAGCTCTGTTTCTATCTAAACAAACCAAAACAACCAGTGGCTCCTTGTGAATATTTGAAAATAACATTTTAATCCTTTAAAAAAAAAATGGTGTGTGGTAGATTACATACTACTTACTGGCCTTTCACAGGCCAGTCCCTTCTGGAGGGAAGAATGTCTCTCCACCTTATTGAGGTCAAGCCTGGCCATATGACTTGCTCTGGCCAACAAAATGGGAGTGGCATTTGCCACCCATAAGCAGGAGCAGTGGGTACCTCTTATGCTGTGCTGTTGCTGTTCTGCTGGTGTTTAAGGACTACAGGTCTCAAGTTAGGAAGCCCTTTGCACCAGGGTCCCCAGTTGGAGCAAGACTAGAAACATGAGAGATAAACATCTTTTGTAATGACTGAAATTTGGATGTTGTTACAGTATTACTTAGAAGCTATCAGAACACAGGTATGAACAAGCTATGACATTCAAAAATTAGGTAGAATTTTTTTAGTATGGATGTTTGGCTATTCAGCAAAGTAGGTACTTTTATCTTTGGAGGTCTGCCTTACTCATAAAGACTTCCTTCATTGCCCTCCATCTAACTCCCCACCTGCCTCCCCCATCAGTATGTACAGAAAGGTAGATTTACTTTTTCACATTATCTGTGAGTGACTCCAAAATGCAGCTTAATCATAATAACAGGTTAGAATTATGCCTTTTCTTTAGAAAAAGCAGAGCTGGGCTCCTTTCTCTGGCCCTCTCTTGGACCTTTACAGCCAAAAAGGAGCCAAGCTTGGGCATGCCCTCCAGCTCTGTGGATTCTCTGTGCACCTTCAGATTGCTGAAGTCTTTCACAATCGCTCCATCCCTGTGGGGAGCAGAATTTAGGATGGGCTAGAATATAAATAACCCCAGAGACCTTTGGTGACAGTAAAGGAGTTTGGAAATGTCACGGGAATTGTGAAGCCTTGGGATGGTGATTACTTCCTACTGAGGGTGGGGGTGGGGTAGGGTGGGGTGGGGTGGCAGGGATGATCAGTAGATGCTAACCAGGCTTTCTTTGAACCTCCCTCATCTCTTTGGTTCTTCCAGAGATCCTCCAAAAAGGAAACCAATTGACATGGATCCTCTCCCCTGGGAGAGTCATCAACCAGGAAAGATCACATCACAGGAAAAGAGACCCCCCCTGGGTCATTACCTTGCCCAGATGGGCTGCCACTATGGGCTAGCACCTATTCTTCTGACAAGTCCTCCTTGAGGCAAACTTCATTAACTGAGAAATGTTAGGTACACACCAAGACAACTTTTACACGCTGTACATTTCTTCCCCTCTCTCTCCTATAGCTTGTCATCACTACCGCCCCCAATAAGCCTCTTGCCCCTATTGCTTTCAGTAGTCCAGGATGCTATATAAGCTACCAGATCTCACTGGGCTTGGGAGATATTCACTTTTCTTTCATATGAATCCCCCATGTGTGTGACAAATTCGTATGCTTTCTCTCCTGTTAATCTGTCTACTCAGCTTGTTTCATAGACACAATTATAAGTTCCCTTCCCCATACACCTTTTTTATTTGCATGACTAAAATTTCCTACTCAGATGACACCTCACTAGACAATAACAATAGAAGGACACTTGTTCTTTCCTCCCTTCTATTTTCTGAAACTAGTCCATGTTCAAGGTCACAGTAGAAGCAAACACCTTGGTACAACTTGATCCCTCCATCCTCTCCTGAACCCCACCAGGGTGGTTATCCAACCCTGGGCTGGGTAAATGCTTCTCTGTGGAACAAGAATCCAGAGTGACTGTTGGACATCTGTTGTTTTTACCTGCCCAGCATCTATCTCCCAATTTCCTGGCAGAAGTTCCCTTCTGCTAATGTTTAGGATCCCAGTTTCTGGTGTCCAAGTTCTGGGTCAACTTCTAGCTCTGCAATTTACAAATGCTCCATGACTTACAAAGTGATTACATGCTGATAAACCCATCACAAATTGAAAACACATTGAATACACCTAACCTAATAAGTATCATAGTTTAGCAACACAGAACACTACAGAGTAAGTTGTTTCCTCTCATGATCAAGTGGCTGGCTAGAGGCTGCAGCTTGATGCCCTGACCAGCATCCTGAGGGAGGATCATACTGTGCATATCATCACTAGCACGGAAAAAGATACAAATTCAAACTTCAAAATACAGTTTCCTCTGAGCGCATGTTGTGTTTGCACATTGTAAGTTGGAGACTGGTTATCTGTGAGGGTTTGTGTCTCAGTTTCTCTGTGTATCAAATAAGGATAACATCATGATTAAATTAGTTAACAAAAAATAATAATAACCTGAGGTTAAAATGAGTTGCCTACTTAGAACTGATCCAAAACACAGTAAACTCTATAAAAATGTGCTGTTACTATTTTATATTTGGAGTAGGTTAACCTCAACTCAAGCTCCATAACAGGCACATGTCTCAGGCCTGGCCAAATAAGCACATTCCTCCCTTTGGGCTATAAGTGATTTAGAAGTAAACATGTGACCAACACTAAGCTTGACCAGAGCCCAGCTTTGTTGGGAAAGGAGAGAAACCTGGAGGTCCTATTGGTCTTTTGTCCCAAGAGGACACTACCAGCAGGGAATGTAGACAATGTGGCCCTAGTGAAGAGAAAGGCTGCTTCTGATGGTGCCCTTTGACCACCTGGATCCAGCTGTCCTAGAATTTTCTGTTATATGAGCTGTTAAATTCCCTAATTAGCTTAAGCCCTTTGAGCTACTTTTTTTTTCTGGTCCCCTGTAGAAGAAAAACAATCTTAATACATTCAATCTGGCTGGTCCCTTAAAAAGGAAAATATAAAGTCAAGCCTGTGCAGGACTGTCCTCAGACTGCTGTGTAAATGGAGAAGCCAGCCTGCAGAAACCTGAGGCAGAGAAGATTCTGCAGAAGCTTTGGTCAGAGCTGACAGACTTCCCGATGACCCTCTGGGTCCTGAGCCCTTCCTGGCTGTACCTGGACTCTCAGGTCCCATGG